GCTACGTGGCAGATCACCTAATCACAAATGTTTAATAAACGACTGTTCCAGACGTAACAAGCAATCATTGAATTTCAATAAAACAAATATGTACTTTTCCACTCTGACTAAAAGGAAAGTTCCATCCAACACTGACCCGATTAGAATTGAAAATACTGTTACTGAGAAAAAATGATTTATTAATTTCCGTAGGCATTCTTATTCATGAGTCACTTGACTTAAAGTATCACATTACCAATATATATTCTTAGCTGTATAGAAGTCATGGGTGTTTTTTTAAAACTCAGATATTTTATACCCACCAATTTTTATTGATAAGTTATTTCTTTTTTCAAAAATGTACACTACGACTGATAAAATAGAGTGAATTTCGTGATTTTAGTCAACCACTATTGTTAAGCTCAAAATTCTCCCAAACTTTGAACTATTTGAATTTAATATGTCAGTTTTTATGTTTATGTATCACAAAGGTATTCTTTCAGTATTTCTCGATACTATGTTTTTAGAAGTTATTGCTCATTCCATACGTACTACATTCGTACACGGGATAATCTTTGTGTTCCCATTATATTACCCGTTCTATCCGTTTTACAGGAGTACATGAATGGAATTCAATTTGTAATATTAAACCTTAAATCCAGCTCCACACTTTGTCATTTTAGAACTCTATTCAAACGTTACATATTTAAACAATGTCATGCTTGACTTAGTAGACTTTTTCTTATCTTTGTCATTCTCACCTCTTTTATTTCTTCTCTTTCTCTTTCTCACTATTTTCCTTTTTTCTCTTTCTCATTCTGTAATCTCCCTTTGTGTTTGTTTTGCTCTTTTGTGTTTGTGTTTGACTGTGGGTGTGTGCATCATGAGTGATACGTGCCGATATTTAATGGCCGGTCCCCTTTTCTTTCTTCTTCTTAATGTATGTATGTATACCTAGTAAGTTTTATTTTGTTTGCTTCTTAATGTTATATTGTGTTAACCTTGATAGGGGCGTCATGTACAAGCACAAGTTGCTTACTGGAGGTCCTGGCTTATTATTTATTGTGCATTTATGATTTGTAATGCTTTTATGATGCCAAATAAACTGAATTACTCATAACATTGTATTTAAAGGAATACGACCAATATTAATTTGTTCTGACTAGGTAGACTTTGCCAGAGGCAATTTTTTTTAACTTCCTTCTTACCACTATATATGTAATCTCGATCATATAGAGAAAATAATCACTTATATCGCTGGAATTCTCCTTCTTTTTCTTCTTCTTCGTAATAAAAGTAATATCAGTCAACGGTTATTCTTCTACAAATCGTCAGGTTGTTTAGCCCGAACAATACACCCTCCTTTATAATGAAGTGTCTCTTTTACGAAATTAAAAATATTAAAGGAGTGCATATCATCTCTTGAGAACGGCACAACTTGTTTTTTGTTCTCCTTTAACAAAAAAAAGAAGACTAGAGATGCTTTTTTTTCTCGAAATGAATTAGGAATAAAACCGTTCCGATAGGGACCGAACGGGAACAAAAGAGCGTCGAAAATGTGGGGTGTAGATGAAAAGCAAAGCATGTTTGGTTTCTTATTCCGATTCAATTCATTAATGGAAAGAAGGACGTGATGTACCTCTACGTCACAAAGGCGATCCAGGAGAATTGCCAAGTCGACCGTGTGACTGGGAAAAAACATGGGCATTGTTTCATTAAAATCGAAGTCACCGATATCCCACTTAACGCGTGTATTAAAATTGGCAAGCGATTCAAAGGGCTGGGTATGTGAACTTGTTTTGTTGTGGTCTAGTGGATAACCAAATCCCAGCCCGGCACCAACGTCCTTTGGCAAGACGTCAATCCACGTTTACCACTCTCCACCCAGGTGTTCAATGGGTACCCGGTACGATCCGAACGTTGTTTTGGTTGGATTAGCATGTGCGCGCCCGTAAAACAGGCGACTAGCTAAAATGCTCCCCATGGAGTGGAGAATGTGCATACGGTGTATGCTGGCAAGCCTGAATCCAATGACCGGGGTAATAATGTATCTGTAAAGCGCTTAAAAACGTCGTTGTTGCGTTAAGCGCTACATAAATTAAAGCGGAATATTATGATAACTTACGACGCGCGTCCCATTTAGAATGTCTGCAAACTTGTTCTAACCATTGTTTCATGAATGTTGCTCAGATGTTGCAAATAATAATGCATCGCTATTGAGGTGATATAATAATCAATGTACCGTGGCAACAAGTAATACATTATGTATAAAGCTATGGGAGTATGTTTCAGTTTCGGTTTTGGTTTATTGCTTCACGTTTAACATATCTTTTACATTGATTTCGCAAATTAAATCGTACAAATAAACGTGGATTATGTTAACAGACACATAAAAAGTTGAAATTGAGTACCTCATATTAGTTTGCTTGAATCCATTAAATTAAAAAAACTGAACCAAAAGAGAAAAGTGAAATATGGGGAGGGGGTCTGTGGTAAAAGCTAGGCTTGTAAGTTATAGGCTCCAATAATGATGCTGAAAAGGAAACCCGCTTCAGTGGCCACCTTTATGAAAAAAAAATGTTTTGTCTCCCCTAAGCAGTATTACTCATTAAAACGTGTATTTAAGGAACCTATTCATACAAAGAGTACCTGCTCATAAAGAGCTTCGCTTTATTTGTCTCCCTAATTGAGTGGTCTTTATATTATGTTTTTGTGAAGGAAATAAATATTTATTAAATTTGATGGAAATTGAATAGTGAAATACTATCACAAATAATTTTCGGGAAAAAAAAAATCGATTTCAAGTGCAATTTCGATACCCTATTTTATGGCTGCTCTTTATAAATGACGATATTATTAGATGAGGCTACCTGGGTAGTTCTGAATAAGACATAGTTTTCATTATCGTTAAGTGATTATTATCGTCTCAATTTCATTTATTTTTGTATTATCTTTCAGAATACGTTGAGACAGACGAGTTAGTCATGAAGTTGTTCGTTGTTCCTGTTCTTTTGATCTCAATGGTCGTAGGTAAGGTATATTTGCTTCTATTTATGACTTCCGTTATTCAATTGATCTCTGCCCTCGTCAACTTAGTTAATTCCCTTATTAAGTCAATCCTTTCTTAATCCACTAAAGAACTACTCTGTTCACTTAATCCGTTATCTTATTCACCCCCTTAATCATCTAATCACTACCTTTATCAAAGTAGTCACCTGAAAAATCAAAAGTGTTTTCAATTGACGCAAAATTCAAATAATTGCCAAGGGGGAGCCTTACTGATCAAAGAAAACAACTTCCCTCTTCACAATATGTTTTGGGCTCGCAGTAATCATCTCTCAAAAATGTTGATTTTTAGATCCAGATTTTCGGCCTTCAGCGGTCCTCCGTACAATGTCAAGATTCGTGACGTCACATGCGAGACACGGCTAGCCACGAAATTGCATTTTACGCCTTTTCATGATATATTTATGATTTTCCCGCAAATTATTCGTGTTTCCAGAGAGAAAATCTTTCCACCCATATATAACTTGTCCACAATTATCAGTTGTCGTGAATTTTCTTCGGATGACTACTTTAAGTTAACCCGCTACATTAGTCGATTTGATTTCTGTCCCTCATCTACTTAATCCTTTCGCTCAAATACTGCCCTTATTAACGTAATCCATTTCCTTATTTAGTTCATCCCTTTGACCTTTTTCAGTTAATACCTTTGCTAAATCACTTAATCACCTCCATACTTCGTTTAATCCCTGTTCTTAATCACTGTCCTCATTTACTTAATCCATTTCCTTATTAAGTTAATCCCTCTGCTATTTCATTTTGTCGATCCCCTTATCCACCTTTAAAATCTCCATGTATTTCTTACATGTAATCCTTTCCCTCATTCCCTTGGTATCTTCTCCCTTTCACAATGATCCTTTCCCTTATTCACCTAATCCGCTAGCATCAGAAATATTTGTTTAAGTAACTCAAATTTCGGTAACAGTTTTATATTTGCCGGATCTAAATGGATACAATTTAGCTGAAATTATGAAATACAATTGAACTCTCCATTACTGGTTTCTGTTTTTATTTTACATTTGACTTTTGCCAAGTATTCTTGTGGCAAATGTAATCATTTATCAGTGGAAAAGGTTATTTGGGCTTCCTTTTCCTACGAAAATAGTTGTTTGCTAGTAAGGAGTATAATCTATCAAATGTCATGTTAATTTTAAACGCGTCTTGTTACAGTGGATACGCCCATGAACTATGAAGCATTTGGTTTGCGGTTCGAATCCCAGCCTGACACCAACGTCCTTTATCGAGACATTTCTCTACATGGCCACTCTCCACCCAGTGATTATTTGGTTACAATGGGGAATGCCGCTCTCTCTCTCTCTCTCCTTTTCTCTCTCCTTTTCTCTCTCTCTCTCTCTCTCTCTCTCCCTTACACATACGTGTTTACAGCTGTTTTGGCATTCAATGCATGCGTGCCAACAGTGCACAGTGGTAGAAATGCTCCTTATATATTATATATTGAGTCAGCTCTTACTTATGTACGGGATTAAAAGTATGTTATTCGAAAAAAATACAAATGTTACAAATTTATATGCAATCGCAAGCAATGTAGCGACAAAACGCGCATGCGCACTTCTCATTAAAAAATCGGTATGTACAAACACTGACGCTTTTTTATGAGTTTGCCAAACAATTCTGTTTGAGATATTTAAAGACCTTGACCGGAGCGTACACAACCATACATCCACAGACGGCTAATGAAACACAAAATACAAATACAAGAAAGAAAAAATTAAATACCCTTTCATTACTGAGAAAAATGAAAACTACAGTACAACTGCCGCCCCCTCCCAAATTCGCCTCGGTCAAGAGCCCCCGCGCCGCACGGACTTGGGTGACGTCATTCCGTGTAGACTCGAATTGTTTGCTATAATTCTTCGCCGCGCGATGTTCGAGATCTACATTGATTTTGCGTGCCGTGAATCCTTTCTGCTTTTTATCGATTGAAGTTTGAGAAGTTTTGAGAAGTCTTTTTAAAGAGAATGGCTACCCCAGTCGTCAGGGCAGATGCACAAGATGATTTAGTTATGGAATTTGAGTGTGAGGAGGATGGCAGTTGCGGGGAAAGCGGTGAAAATGACAGTGTCAGTGGTAGTAGTGACAGTCCGGACAGTGGCAGCAGCAGTGATACCGACAGCGATGCAAGTGATGCAGACGCCGGAGAACACGGGCGTATCGTCGAGTATGAGCCTTTACCTCGTGGTGAACCTGGGCAAAATGTTGGCGATGCTGGAAGGGCCAACAACGCAAATCGGCTTCATGAAAATGTCGAGGATTGGTAATTAAGACTTATAAGCTTATTGAATTTGTTGTGCATTCTAAATATTTATTCCCCCCAAAAATTGAAATCAAATACCGTAGATCTCTAGACTCGGTCATAAATGGCATGTCTAATTCTAAAGTTAACTTGTTAGAATGATTCTCTAGATCTATGTCTGCGCACCTAAAATTCGACCTCGATTTCATTACACAGTAAGATATTATTTTTAGAATCATCATTGTTATTCCGTTCTTCATATTCTAATGATTACTGAAACAAAAAAAACTCGACAAATTATTCACAAGAACAATTTTTTTTAACGAATTTCAGACGGGCTCGTCATTTTGTGTAGCAAAACTGAAAAGTGCCCATGTCTGCGCACTCACTATTTTGCACGCAATTCAATCAAGCACAGTGAAGTTTCATACCAGGGACAACCCCCTGTTCAGACTTTTCTTTTTTGACAATGATTGAAATTTTCAGGGTGGCAAATGAAACTTGCTAAAACTCATTTTTAATCTTCCCAATTATTTTCACAAATTTTGGTATCTAAATGAATTGTTGAGGTTAAGATTGAAAATTGGTGTCAGTTTGATGTTTTGTTCTATAAATATCGCGCATTTACGTGGGTGCGCAGACATAGGCACTGCCTTGGGCACTCTTACCATACTACGACTACGAGAACGATGTCATTTTTATATTTATCAGGAAGCTGTAATAAAATATTTATAAAATTATAGTAGGTGTATTGATTTTTGTTTGAATCTTTCTGTATTTCAAGGTGTACATGTGGAAGATGTCGTGTGCCTCCATCTTTCAATGAAGGTGATTGTGTCTGTTGTCAGGAAATTGCAGAGGTCAAGGCAGAGGCTGATCGACAGGGTTCAAGTTGTCTGGTGGATTCTGAGGAGTTTGAGCCGGCCATCCTAAATGCGACAACATTGTACATCGGATGGATGGAGTACACAGATAGGTGGCGCCGAGCAGCCAAAGCATTTGGGGACAGGAACAATGAGTAAGTTATGTTTCTCCTTTTCATCATTTTGGCAAGGGCAACAAAATAAATGGATTGATTTTGAAAGTTTATTGGGTGAAACTTTTCAAAACGAATTGAGTCACCGCAAGATGAATTACTAGTTTTGACCAAAATTCGTGCCTGGTGACCACTGGTGTACTAGCTGCCTTATCTGCAGGTGCTTCGGGGCACTTTTTCAGGAAATGTATACAAATAGGCAAGAATGACCACCGATTTGTGAGTTTTAGCATGTTACCCCCCCCCCCCAATAATCTGTAGTTATGAAACACAAACTTTATATGCGATTTTGAATGTTGCCCCCCACCGCCCGACAAACAATGACTAACCCTTGGTCATTTTAGTTTTTTTTAATCATTTTTATTTTCCTGAATTAATTAATAAAGAATTAATATTTTGACATCAAATCATCTATCCTAAGAAAAATAATGAATTTTTTTTATTGCTTTTTATTTTACAGAAAATACAGGTATGTGGCCTACAGGAAAGTCGTGAGATGGTGTTGGGGCTGGCTCGGGAAGGACATCAGGGTGCAACTGCCAGCATGTGTCCATGCCTCAATAATGGAAGCGTATCCTGATGGACGTGGTCAGTACAAAGGGACCATCCTGCGTCGGTTGAGATGAGGATGTAACATCAACTATTGTCTTGCGAACTTTGAATGACTGTCATCTTCTATGTGATTGTCAGCCATCTTCTGTACGTTATTTGTGATCATCGGCTTTCATCTTCATATTCATCACAAATACTATTGTTTGAACTTCTCATGATGGTATGGTTGCTATGAACTTTGATCTCGACATTTGATTCTAATTTCCAAGAGCTGATATTCGAACTTTTGCAAAACTGTGATCAAGCAACGATTTCTTATGAGGAAGAATGTTGAAATCTATATAAACAAGCAACAAAAAAAACACACACAAAAAAAACACAACATGCCTTGTTCCTTCTCTTTTGTTATACACCCTGCAATGTAATTTGTTTTAATAATTTGAGCATTTCATATACAGTCAACCTGCCGAGTCAGAAAAGGGGAGAGAAAGAGAAAATGAAATTGAAAGAGAAAACGAAATTGAGAGAAAGAGAAATAACAGCATGGACACAACAAAGATAGACAGAGGAATAATGAGAGTAAGAGAAGGGAATTGCGGTTGACGAAATTTCAAATGTGTGATAAATGGTAAGCATCGTAATAAATCCAGGAAATCCTTTATTTTGCATCAAATCTATCCTCCCAAAAAGGATAAACCTTAACCCTATCTCCCACTCTGTCCCTCTTCCTCTCTCTTTCTCCTCTTCCACCCTCCACATTCCCATTTCTCACTCTTTCACAATCTCTCTTTCTCCTCTTCCATCCATCACATTCCCATCTCTCACTCTTTCACAATCTCTCTTTCTCCTCTTCCATCCATCACATTCACATCTCTCACTCTATCCCTATTGGTATCTATCTTTATCCCTCTTCCTCTCTCTGTTTCCTCTTCCATATTTCCATCTCTCACTCTGTCCCTCCTCTCTTTCTCCTCCTCCACATTCCTATCTCTCACTCTGTCCCTCCTTCTCCTCTTCCACCCTCCACATTCCTATCTCTCACTCTGTCCCTCCTTCTCCTCTTCCACCCTCCACATTCCCATCTCTCACTCTGTCCCTCCTTCTCCCCTTCCTCCACATTCCCATCTCTCACTCTCTCCCTCTGCCTCTCTTTTCCTCCTCCACCCTCCACATTCCCATCTCTCACTCTTTCACAATCTCTCTTTCTCCTCTTCCATCCATCACATTCCCATTTCTCACTCTTTCACAATCTCTCTTTCTCCTCTTCCATCCATCACATTCACATCTCTCACTCTATCCCTATTGGTATCTATCTTTATCCCTCTTCTTCCTTCACATTCTCTATCTCACTCTCATTTTCACAGCAATTTCCATCTTTAAATTATGAAGCTTCCTACAAGACACCTATAGTAGAAATAAACAAACAAGATTTGTGTTCCTTTAGATGAATTTTGGTTTACCTTTGCTCAAAATATTCTCAGAACATCCCATTGACGGTTTTTCCCCCCAATCATTTTCTTCTCTGTTTGTGCAATATATTTCAAAATGATGCACCATTGGAACAAAAACTTTGATGCAACATGTACATTACATTCATCCTTATTTTATGTAAAGATTACAGGATAGATGACTATTTTTATTATATCTGCAAGGATGATTATTTTTCAATCTTTTATAACCAGGTTTTAGGACAAACAGGAAACCGCTGTTAGGAAAAAAAAGTATGGATGCGATGAAGTATCATCACAATGTTTCCTCTTCTGTGATAATATGGCATGATCTTTAAAACTACTAACTTTGAAAATGAATAACACAATTCACCTCGGCAGAAAAGGGAAAAAATCAAAAACAAAAAATAAAGTCATATCTGGTGCAATACATCAAATGGTTCTTGAATAAGAACAGTTTAGATGAAGAAAAAAAATGTTGTTGGTGATGTACACGTGCTTGCATCGGCAAAAGTAATTGGTTGATTATGGGCATGGCCTCCTTGTTTACCCACACGTTTCTTCTGGCTGTCTAGAGAGGACACTGCTATCTTTGTAGAATGGACAGTTCTGGTTCTAGTCGAGCTCAAGCACGTTGTTACTGTTAGCGTAGACGTTGTTGGTGTTGACGTTGTTGGTGATGAAATCATTGGTGATGACACTGTTGGTGAAATCATTGTTGATGACATTGTTGGTGAAATCATTGGTGATGACACTGTTGGTGAAATCATTGTTGATGACATTGTTGGTGAAATCATTGTTGATGACATTGTTGACGTTGATGATGTTGTCGTTGTTGGTTTGAGGAACCAATGATCTGTAAAGGGTTGAACAGCCTGCTGCCGACGGGGAATGGCATTTGGTAGAAGGCGCGGCGTAATTTTCCTGAAGCCATACTTAAACTTCAAGACTTGAGACGAATCATACTGGTCTCGCTCAAAATGACCACTGCAGACATGGACATGGACCCTTCCTCGGGCATCGAACCTTTTAACTTCGGTTGAATGAACTTCACCCATGCTCGCCTGATGGATCCTTCCTTCGGTAGTTCATGTATGGCAAAGCCATCATGAATAGTGTTGCTGCACCCATACAAGACACACCGGTTTCCCCCAACAGGCTTCGGCTTCTTGCTGGGCTCACCTTCCTCATCTGTGTTACTCCGTTTTGACATGCTGATAACTGCAATCTATAAAAAGAAAACAATACACCAATATTACAATTGATAGAAGATTAAAATGAATATAAATATGTCAAAGATCTACATGTACATTTACATCTAGACTTATAAAGTCGGGCAAGATAAAAATTAGTGCGAATCCTGTGATTCCTTATTCTTTATCAACTTTTGTTTTGTAATGCAAAATTTATCATTTTCAGGTTTCATTTTTCACAAAATATGTTTGAAATTTTGACAAAAATAACCTCATGATTTATAGATCTTGTACACAAATTTAAAATTTTTGGCAATAGACTTGTGGTCTTCCCATTTAGAATTAGCAATGAAATATTGCAATGATTTAAAAACTCATCTCTAATTGTAAGATCTTCTTTTCAAAGCTGCCTTGACAAAATAAAACTGTCAAATTTAACCATATAAGACTTTCAGAAGAGAGATGTGGCAGAGACAATAAGCAAGATCAAGATAAAATGGCAAAATAATAAATGATCTATAACATTAACATTGCTATTAAAGTTAGACAAAAGTTAGTTAAACTTAGTTTCATAGAAAAAAAAAAGCAAAGTTAATCTGTAGTCGGATAAAAAAAAAAGAAGCAAAGTCAACAACAAATGACCGATGATTTTGTTTTAATAATCATCCCTGGCAACAACACTAGATCTAGACCATTTTGATTTGAATAAAAAAACAGTGTTTTCATCACGAGAAAGTATCAAGAAGAGGCACCCATGTGATTTCTGACATCAATTCAAAATAATTTAGTTCCTGGCTTCACTGTACTGCAGTGCACTGCCACTGGGCGGCACGAGTCCAAGGCCTAGATTCTACCAACTACCTAGTTTTCTTTTTCTTTTTTTTAGGCCCAATTCTTCTTCAAAATCTCCATTTCATCTTCTTCTTATTTTTCATTGTTCATAGACTATATTCTAGACAATAAAACAATGTAGATCTAAATAATTCTTTGATTTAATGCTGGTAAACCATGCAAAAGGAAAGGCTATCTGTGCGATAAAAGCGAGCGAAACTTAGTTTTGTTCGAGAAATATTCCACGACCACCAGCATGACACGGCGCGGCAAGTCAGGCCGGGCCGGCCGCGGCCCGAGTGCTCTCGCGAGGCTCAGCGATAGATTGCTGAAAGTTGTGCAATCGCAGACCGAGGCAGGCAGCCAGCAGCGCGGGCAAATGATTGGTTTCAATCTAATTTAGTGGAAATTTGGGGTTGATATTCCATATTACGTAGCGTGAAATTAATACAGATATAAAATGTCAACATTCTAATCGTAAAATGTCCAAATACAGCTTCGACATTGATATTTACAACAACAAAAAAAGAGAGAAGAAAACTTCACATACCGACCACCATGCGAAGAACCAGCTGCTATACCGAGTGGCCAAATAACCTACACGTTATGACGTCATCAGAAACGGGTAGAAACGGCCACCGGCTAGCGCAGCCGAAACTAAATCTCCGGGGTGCCCCCTCTCAAATCCGTGAATCCTGGGGTTCGGATGCTAAATACTTCTTTCAGAGGCCGTGGAATCTCGAGAAGTTTGCATTTTCATATTCAGTAAATATTCACGAGTCCGTAGGTATATAATTTGTCTATATAATGCTCTGCTCCGGTCAAGGTCTTTAAATGGCCTAAGGTTATGTACGCACCAGAGATATCCATATACGCGCATCTTAGCCGTGCATTATCCGTTCTAGCCGAGGGTTATCACTTTTTGATGGGAATATATTGACACGGTAGGCATGGTAGGAAAGAATGATGCAGGGTCACGGGTTTTCATTTGACCAATCAGAACCCGTTTTTATAATTTAGAATATTTTCATTTTCATTAATAACACAGGTACCTTGGCCATTGATTGCTACACGTGTGCCGGTGACGTTTGTACGGATCCTTTCGATCCGTCTGGTTCAGGTATATTGAACACTTGTGTCGATGTTCCTGGTTATTCATACGACTATTGTATGGTAAGACATCCGTTTGAGGTCGTTTTATCTCATGATCAGGGATGTTCCCCAAGCTTTGTTCACAAATAAGACTTTCTTTCACCTACACCAGGCGATATATTTTTTGCTTTGTGGTCACCTCGAGTATTATTTGACTCAAAAACATATGTGTAATGATATCTCCCATGGAGAGAAGGGTGTATTCTAGTAAAGGTGAAAAATAATTTGCAAGCTTTCTAATTTTTGCGATGGTACTGTGGAGGAATATCATAAAAAAAGGATGGCCCCTAAAAAGGAAAGATCTTCAAATGTATATTTAAAATATGACTTAAAAGAAGCAGAAATGTTTTGATCAAGAATTCATGGTACCTATTTATTATCAATATCATTTTCATCATCAGTTTTATTGTCGTCGTTAATATGTGTAATATCATTATTACTATTATTATTATTGTTATTATTACTATTCATTTTATTATACTGATTATTAGTATGATAATTAGATAACAGTTGTAAGTCGTGAGATCCATTTGAAATCATTTGCTCAAGCTTTAATAGTGCAAAAAGTGAAACAAAATATATACATAAAAGTACCATTTGATATTATGATACAAATTGTGGAACAATGCAATAATATAAACCAAATTAAGCATTTTCATTATATTATAAAATGTCATTTTATTATATTATAATTATTATTATTATACTTAAAAGAAGATATAATTAATATTACAAGTAGTAGTATAAGTATGTGTTATAATTATCATCAATGTGATTATTTTATTTGTTAATTTACTATTTAAAGTATTATTATCATTGCTATCATTTTGAGTATTATTATCATTGCTATTGTTATCAGTATTATTATAATTGTCAATGGTATTAGTAATGATAGTAGTATCATTATCATCTCGTATCATTTTTCCTCGTAGTATTACCCATACCATGACTACTACTACCACTATTACTTCCACCATCACTACTAATGTTGTTGTTGTTGTTATTACTTTTATCATTTAGAAAACAGTACTCGGATCAACAGTGACACGTACATGTGCTGCTGCCTGTGCTGCGACCTGCGTAGGCGATAGCTGTATTTACTGCTGCGACACCAACCTCTGCAATGGAGGTACCACTGTGACAACCAGCTTCGTTGCTATGGGCGTGGCCATGCTTGCTGCCTTCATCCTCGCCAGACAATAGGCTGCAGAATATGCATCAAGTGACCGGGGTCATAGGAGAAATATACACAGCAATATGTATGCACTGTATACTCAGAATTGTGGAGAAAATATATAAATCCTCGGCCTTTCTTACAAAAGTATGTTTAAGACGATCGTAAAGACTTATGAGAAAACATCCAAAGGCAAAGTTATGGCGTTGTCCATCAACTATTCAAATGTGAGAACATTGCAACGATGTACCCAGACACTAAATGATGGGAATATGATTAATTTTGCATACAGAATAGGGTTTTGGATTTGCTCTGGGGGTAAATTAGTTAAAGTCTTTGCGAGCGTGAACCTTTTTAAATTCGTGTGTTTTTATTAACTTTGTAATGCATAATCAATATCTTTCATGTGGTTTCTATTCAATTTCCGTCTTATTCGATTTGTTTTTTGTTTAGGCTGAGCATGGAAGTTCAACTAGAAGAAAGTCAATACAAATGAAATAGAAAATGTGTAGCAGTAGATCAATATACACTTAATATGCAGAATAAGTGCCATTAAATAAGTAAATACGCTTTCTCTTAGAGAATGAACTTTAAACAATATACACAAATCATGATTTCTCTTTTAAGTCTTTGCTAAATGAACAACAATTGTCAAAAGTACATTTTTACCTGAAATTTAAGTACGGAAAGCATAAACAAAATATAAATTATCATATCAACGTAATTTTAAAGGGGTTATTTTCTGATTACATCGAGAAAAAGACAATTTTTATCCTTTCGTTGATTAAAACCCCCAAAGTGATAAAACTGATAATATAACTTTTCTTTTGTTTTTAAATTGTGGTAAATCTGGACTCATTTCATTTCATAACTATACAGTAAAAATACGAGGTAGATATACAGTTATGAGTCCACAATATAGGTGTGTAATCTTAATTAGGATGAAACAAAATATTGTTATCATTACCTTTGTTATTATTTGAAAATCTGTCAATATGCCTTTAGGATTACCAAATTATCATACAAGCATTAGGTCAATCTAAAGCCTGCTGAACACTACACGTTATGACTACAATCAAATTTTGGAAGAATTTGTGATATAATTTTTATATGAACATTCAAACATTTAAAATCTTAATGGCCGGGATCTGAATAGTAATATTATTTGATAACATCTAAATTTTAAGAGATTTCATGCTCCCTTAATGGAGGGGAGAGCCCTGAATCGGCAAAGAATAATAATAATAATAATAATAATACAGCACTTATTATGCGCCATCGATCTAGTAAACTATTCTGAGGCGCAGAGGGATAGAATTAGAATGAGATACATAGAGCCGATTCGGCTTCTATTCTAACTAGAGGAGACCAATGCACTGAAATTGCGGCTGTTAATATTCTTATCGTTCTTTAGAACCTAAATCAGGAAGATAATGCATTTTAACATTTCCAAATCTAATATAACCGTCCTTTTTATGTTAATCAGATCGCAGGAAAATCGTGTAGTGTTCGCCGCGCGGGCTAAAATAGTATATGAGATAACGTCCTCCCGGCTCTCAACAGACGTTTAGTAAGATAACCTGATGTGTTCTTACACATGTGTTCACGCTTTTGTACCTTTCTTTTAATTAAACATACCAATTACTTCAACCTTGTTTTACTTCCTTGTCCATTGTATTGTGTACTTTTACCACCAAGTGGTTTTTACGAATAGTGAAGTCGATTTAACCAATTTGTAGACTCTCGATTCTCGGTGAAATTGCGGATTCAAAATGCAAGACAACATATCTGGTAACTATTGCAGGGTAATCCAACCCTTGTAATAATTATGTTTGTATAAAAACAGAACAAAATTACGCAAACAGAATGTCGAAAGTTTCAAATAAGTCGGACCAATAGGTAAAAGCTATGACTGTTTGAAAAAAGTGAGGGCTAAATCTAAGCGAATCTCAAATTGGCAATTGGGTCAGTGGACTGTGACTTAGTTATGGCCAGCTCTCCTGTTTGTTGAGTAAAACAGTTTTGCAAATGTCTGTTTTTCTCCAATGCACCTTTTCCCTTCGGACACTACACAAAATATATCAACACAATAGCAACTGTTTTCTAAAAGTCGACAAGAAAGCAATTTCATTAGCCTTTGCGTAACCTATTGAAACGTGCGAACATAACAACCACTATTACTTATTCCAAACATGATTTAATGGGACAAAAATTAGGTTAATCAATTCAATTTTATTTCTTTCTGTCAAAAAGACAACATTACATAAAACAATCTGATATATAACTTACACTAGAAATTAAGAACATATTGGACGATGAAATAAAATAAACTGAATATGTTACAACCTGAAAGTAAACATAACCTTTATATAAAGGTTGACCCTTTTTTGATAATATTGTGACGGTTTTGGCGTGAAATCGGGAAAGAAGGAGGGGGGGGGGGGTTAGAAAGAAAATCCCACCGCTGCCACCATTGTGACGGTTTTGGCGTGAAATCAGGGAAAGAAGGAGGGGGGGGGGGTTTGATAGAAATCCCACCGCTGCCACCATTGTGACGGTTCTGGCGTGAAATCAGGGAAGAAGAGGGGGGGGGGGGGTGGTTTGGTGGGTTGATAGAAATCCCACCGCTGCCACCATTGTGACGGTTCTAGGGAATCGGGGAATCGAGGGGGGTGGTTAATATGCTTCCACCATTGTCCCAAAATCATCCCCATCGCTACATAAACTTTCTCCTGCTACCATTATAGCGAATTCTATCAATATAGGGAATACAAGTAAAACAGGTCTGGAAAGAAGACTACATTCATAACCACTTTTATGTCAGTCTCTTATACCCTTAATTCTGACGGTTGCTGCCACCACCTAGTCTTAATCTGGAGCGCTAGGATCTCCAAAACAACACGGTTTGTGTGTTTACATTCACTCTGTAATCTGATACACTCTCACTTACATACACAGATTCCTAAGAAACCGGACCATGCGTCCTTCTACTAGTATACGCTTAAAGTCATTGTGACGTATGGCAATTGCTTCCTTTTGGGACGCACTGTCTCGTCCTTTCCCAATCTGTCTCTCGTCACGTGCAAGACGCACTGTCTCACTCTGGGAAAATCCTGTATTGATTTGGCCATTTCCACTCAAAGTTAGCTTCTAGAGTCTCAAACCACTTCACAATATCTTCCATCCTTTTATAGGTGAGTGTTATTCTCACCCCTGATACCGTAATTAAGTATCATTAAGTAGGAACTAATCATGTTTTTGTCTCTCTAACAAGCCTCACAACACCATTTAGACCATAATCATGTCCCATACATTCATTTCTGTGTATCAAGTCTTCCACTCAGTCAC